ATTAGAGAAATTAAAGGCTATTAAATTAAGCAACAAAGAGAGGTTTGGAAAGATTCACTTTTTGAGATCCAAACCAATTGCAGAAGAAGATTAGATATTAGTGTTTGATAGTAGTTTGGAGCATCAACATAGTACTCTTAGAAAGTTTTCTCAAAGATGGATTGGACCATATATGATAGTAACAATATTTGATAATGCCACCTACTTGCTTTGTGAGTTGGATGGTATGATGTTGAAGATATTTGTAGCTAAAAAGTAAATCAAGGCATTCAAGAGAAGAAATTACAAATTTATTCTAAATAATCTTTTAAATTTTGAAATATTAGATATAGACTAAATAGAAGATGGAAAAAAAGATGGAGATGATGAAGAAGATGGTGATGGTTAAATTGGCACATACTAAAAGATGTATAGGTTTAGAAAGATTGGATGTTGTAGAAAGTACCGTAATGTATAAAAATAATATGAAATAATTTGAGAATTTGATTTTTAATTAATTAATTAAAAATAAATAAATAAAATAAAATAAAATACTTATTTAATTTTCTTAAATTTGTATTTTAAATTTTGTAATTAAAGATAAAAGTTATTAAATTTATTGATAAGAATTTTAGAAGGGCTTTGATATCAAAGGTATAATATTTTAATTTCTAAGCCATTCTAAATAGATGGATAAGGCAAGTTGATAGAAAGCTTCATTCTTTTTGATTAAAGGTTATGTCTAATGGACTTTAAGATTTTGTTTGAAACCATATTGGAATTTGACACTACTTCAAAGCAAATATTTAAAACTCAAAGATTAGCATTTCTAGACTTATATTGAAAACAATAATTTTTGTGTAAATATCAAGGAATTTGGAGTTTTTATAAGGAAGAAATAGATGCTTGAATTTAGGGTCTTAAAATTGTACCTATTGCCACACTTTTTGAATACAAGGAATTGTGTGAGAGCTTTTAAAAATTAACAAGTGAAGTTCAAAAGTTGACTTAAAGAGCTAAATTTTATATGAAAGAATCAATAAATTTAAATTTAGAATAAAAGAGAAAGAACTATTGGAAGTCAATGCTTCAAAATTAGAATTTATAGGTAAATTCTTTTCATAGAGGTTTTAATGTGGGCCATATCTTGAATTTTTGGATGAAGTTTTGGTTGAAAATTTTCATATGTAAATCACTATATTAAGAAGTTGTATATAATATTTTATGGTATTTGAGTGTTGGATTTTTAAGATATGATGGATTTAGTGCATGGATGTTTAGAAATTAATATATTTAGTATTTATTAGAAATTATACCATATCTAAAGGTCCATAATGAATCTATAGTTGATATTTTTTATAGAAGTAGATAAAGATATAAGTTAAGTTATAGAGAAGTTTGAATCCAATTAGACAATTATATTGGAAGTTATTTGGTGATATAGATTTAGAAGGAATTTCCATAAGAATAGAAGTAATATTAAGATATCTAGTCATATCTTGGAGATTCTTATGTAATTAGGACTTATATATTTGATGTAATTGTCTTCATGAGGACAAGCTATAAATAAGATTTATATTTTATAAACTTATAACTTATTTGAGTAATTAATGGTAGCAAGAAGCCTAGCGCTTCTTAGAAGCTAACTCTCTCTATTACAAAAGTACGTAGATAATTGCTAAAATATTTTAATAAAAATCTTCTTCTATAATCTAAGCAAAGGATTTGAATCTTATAGAGTGTATGTTTTTAGATCATGATCTTAAATTGCAAGAATTTACTAAATGCATAGACTTAGGTAGATAAGAAATAAATCCATGTTTTTTTAAAGTAGTCATTTATAAGCATCATAAAATAATTTGAACCTCCTAATGAGGTAGTTGAAAGTGGTCTACATAAGTCTATATAGATTAACTTAAGTAGTTTAATAGACCAATAAACGATATGTTTGAATATGTTCTTTTTAAGTTTATTTTTTTGTTTTTAAGCAAATAAAAAAATTAATTTTTATTGGTCTTAATCTAAGTATTCATATAACTAAATTTTTCTTGCTAAGATCAAATAATCTTGAATAATTAATGTATTCCATCCTACAATATTAGAAATATGACAATTTTTTGTCTACTTATGCTAAGTTTGCTTCTAGCAATAATAATTTCTAGTTTGTCTTTAGAATAATTTTGACTTAGTTTTGTAAGTTCTCTTAAGTAGGACAGAAGTGGCTAATATGATATTTTGGATGTGTCTAATTTATATAGTCCATTTGAGATATCTTTGGTACTAATTGTTGTAATCTAAAATAGTTTCTTATTAGAGAGAGCTTTATATTTTTATTTTGTGAATATAATCATGTGGCAAGGTCTATAAACTAAGTAAAAAACAAATTTTTTTTGTAAAGATCAAATACATATTTGATATCAGATATATATTGAATTTCATTCATATGTGTATAAGCAAATATTCTATGGACTATGATGGCATAAAATTAATTTCTTTTAGAAGTTATAATCCTAGGATTTCAAATTAAATATAAGTCACTAAACACTTTAATATCTCTTCTAAAGTATTTGAATGATCTTTAATCAAAGAATTAGCTTTTATCATCAAATTCTTGTTGATTATGTTTGAGCTATTGGATGTGAAAAAGTATATGTCCATGATTTGTCAAAGTTTCTTTTAAATTGATATCGATTGATTGCAATTCAAATACATATTACTAGAGCTTCATTATTTCTTCAAAAAGTATGTAACTTTGCATTTATTTCTTCCATTAATAACCAACTTATTAATTCATTTAAAATAAAAATTATCTTTTTATTTTAAGCATTTGAAAGAAACTAATAAATCAAGAGTGTAGGCCATTTAATATTTTGTGTACTATAGCAGTATCATTTAGTAAATATTGTATGTCTTTTAGTTCTCTAATGATGGTATAAATTAACAAAATGAAAGATGAGATATCTTAATTTTTATGTATTCTAATCACTTTTCATTTTTTTACGACAACCGTTGTAATATGTAAAGTATTGCTCGAGAGTGCATCAGGTACCTAGCTACAAAAAATAGAATGGAAATTATAATAACAAAATTCTAACTCTAATAGAATATTAAATAAAACTTAATTAAAATTTAACAATGCTAAAGCAGCTTTAATCAAATTCAAAAAGAAACCTTAAAGAAATTAAAAAATAAATAATAAGAAATCTTAAAAGAGTTGAAAGATAATTTATAATAAACTTCAAAAGAATCTTTAAGAAGCTCTATAAAATATTAAAATAATCACAATATATCTTAAATAATTTTAATTAAGTTCTAATTTAATCCTAATTGAAATCCTAATAAAATTCAATCAAATTTTAGAGAAATCCTAAATCCTAAACTCTAAACTAAATCCTAGACAAATTCTAATCAAATTCTAAACCCTAAACCAAACCCTAATCAAATCTTAGAAAAACCATAACTAAATCCTAATCAAATTTTAATCAAATCTTAAATCCTAAATCAAATCCTAGACAAACCATAATCAAATCCTAAATCCTAAACCAAATTCTAAGCAAATCCTAAATCCTAAACAAAATCCTAACCAAATCCTAATCAAATCCTAAATCCTAAATCAAACCCTAACCAATCCTAAATTCTAAATCAAACCCTAGACAAACCTTAAGTAAATCCTAAATTCTACACCAAACCCAAACCAAATCCTAAATCCTAAATCAAATCCTAAATCCTAAACCAAATTCTAATCAAATTCTAAATCCTAAATCAAATCCTAATCAATCATAAATCCTAAACTAAATCTTAATCAAATCCTAAATTCCAAATCAAATTCTAACGAAATCCTAATCAAATCCTAAATCCTAAATCAAATCCTAATTAAATCCTAAGGTAGTTTAAAACCTTGATATCTTTTTATTAAACCATTGATCTTATTTGAAAATTTAAACACCTCTCAATCTCTTAGTTATAAAAAAATATAATAAATTTAAAGACAATCGCACTTACCAAATAGAAGAAAAATCCTAAAATCTATTCAAATGTTGGCCGGCCTTCTTCTCCAACCTTGATGCTGATCTTTTAGTATTAATATCTCCCTTTTGCACTATTAATTTGATCTCAAATTTTTCATATATGTATAAAAATAAGTCTACTACCTACATACATAACTTTTACTCTAATCTAACTTATAAATTGTAAGAAATCTTAGAAACCCTCATTAGATCTAAAATTCTACTTTCTAAGTTCCTAACCCACTTAAACCTCAATTATCCTGAATTCATCTATTAGATCAAGTTAAAATTCATAGCACATATTAAGCACAGCTATAACCATTAACCTACAAAATTTCATCTATAGATCTACTACAAAATTCTTGAAATTATCCAAAATATCAACCCTCTTTTATTTTACAAAAATCCAAGTCATTTGAAACAATCTTGACTTTACAAGGCTCTTACGAGGTCATTACAAATCCAAATCACACAAAATCAATGCTTATAGAAATCCTATCAAGTCTATTCTCAAATTCCACTCTCTTATTTCTAAAAAAACTCCAAAGTCGCTATAGACGTATAGTTTTGTACATTGAGGTCTGATTTCAACCCAAGTTAACAACAAGTTTGGAGAAAATTTGAGAAAATTTATCAACAAGTTTTGAGAAAAGACCGTGTACACTGCTTATATTGCTCATTGTGACAATACTACATATATCCTCTTACAATAGTAATTAAGTTAGGGTTTTCTTAACCTTACAGAAACGGAGGCTGCAATATGTTCATCTAACACGAACGATTGATAAATTTTTCGGTTACGAGCAAGTTGGAGCACCTCGACCTCTTTCCAGACTTGTAAAGTGGAGACGACTACAAGGTACTGCAACTCAGTCCAACACAGCTAGCAAGCTGTCTAACAAGATGTGATCGAACACCTCAAAAGCAGCGGCCTACTTTATCACCAACCGTAGCAGTGTCATTGTCCATATCTCGCAGCAGTGCATCTGTAGTTTCGTTACAACAAAACTAGGCACTCACACTAATGTCAGTTTCAACAAATGACAAAATATTTCTGTGATGGCAGGACTTTGAATCAATAACCATCGTTCCTTGTGTGACCATCAAATGATCTTACACTTGATTCAACTTATGGCTGGAAAGGCCCTAATTTAATTAAGTCGATCCCTGCTTTAGATGAGCCCGTAGGTTGACAGGGATATAGTTTAACCTACAAGTGATCGCTGTCTGAACAGCTTTGATTTGTTATACAGGAAACAACTTTCCGATTCAATTACTTCCATAACTATGACTGGTTATACTTCAAGAGTCTCGTACCACAGTAATTATCACAAGATCACTGAAGTTGTTAATATCATGGAGGATTACAGCTCGAGATCTGCACATTACTGTTACAATGAACAACTATGACCTCTTGATATGCTAAGAAAGCCACAAGTGAAGAACAATCGAAGCCACAGTTCGTATCTGAACGTTGTAGAATTCTCAGTTTGAACTGTTTTCATGAGAAAAGTAGGAAAAATTGCGTGTAAAGCAAAGTGGTAGAAGTGATCTTGGCAGAAATCATTTCAATGCAGCCGCGGTAAAGACTTTAAGAGATGTACTACCAAATATGATACTGGCATTGACTTCTTGACCTTGAGCCAATTCCCCATCCTTGCCATGTCGAGATTCCCGACAAACATTTTAAAGAGCTCCCGCGAAAACAATACAAGTCCAGCTTCAGAGCGAGCTGCACGAAACTGCGGAGCTACATAAGTAATTAGCATTTCGGTATGTAATAAAATTTATGATATTGCACACGGCAGGTGCAAACTCACCGTCAATTTTGTTCCTGGATGTAAAGCGAAGCAGAGGCATTGAAAGAATTGCACCAGGCTCAGATGATTATCGATTTGAAGGAAACCTCCATCTGGTCATGGACCTAGGTCCTGTATAAACATGATTTCTGCGATATAATGGAATGCGTTGTTCACAGTACTTTCAGACCTCCTATGCCATCTGCACACAGACATGAACTTTAGGATCAATAACATTTAATTGGGGTAGATGAAGGGACATGTCAACATAAAAGAGGAGTAACTAGAAATACAGGCGAATTGCACCGGGATTCAAAACTGAAGGCACAATAAGAATAAGAATCCAGGTTTCCAATCGTAAACGTACGTATCTTTAATTTGACCAGAGGAACACAAACTCTATACATGGCATGTATGGCATGGAAGAACTTTGCCATGCATTGCCTCAATTCCTTGCACCTCGACAGATTGAGAACAAGTCTTAATAGTAATGTCTCCCCACTACACAGAAAAGAAAGAAAAAAAAAAAAAAAAAAAAAAAAAAACCCTAACAGACCTTCTATGAAGACAAAACAGGTCACTCTAATATACACTCACAACGTTGGTCATGATCAATTCGTGAAACAGGGACAGCAGATCATCACGTTAACTCGACTCATATGAGACTGCTACCAATAGACAAACCAGGACTGGAAGATTAAACTGCAATATCGATAAAAACATCAGCTTGTTTTAGAATTAAACCCAAGCATAAGGATTGTTTTCTACTTGAAAAGGTGCAGCAGACTCTTCTGCCTCGTGCACCCGCCGCCCATGACCCAGCAGCAACCTCAGATTCACCTCCACAACAAAGTTAAGGAAGAGACCATCCAGGCCTATCAATGTGCACATGATAGAGACATTGATGCTTCATTCATGACTGTTGTGGTAGGATCACATTACTCCGGTAGCAAAATGCAATCAATGAAATCGTCCCTTCATCAGAGGCAGAGATAGAGTGGAAAAAGGGGAATAATGTCATCAATGGAAGAGCATGATCAACACCCTCCTTCAATTCAACGAAGCACCCACCTGTGAACATCTTTAGGGCATTGCGCTCTACATATTTCTCTGTTAATTCTGGGCTTGAAGCTCTGGTGCCGGTACCACTTCATCCAAAGGAGGACGGATAAGTGGAAAATTAATTCATTCATTTTTTTTTTTACATTCTGTTTGTTGGATTGTTTGTTAGTTAGTTATCTTATTTTTGGGTATCTTTTTCACCACTTAAGATTGCCCACAACCTTTCAAAGATTCATTTCTGTCTTCTTTTGTAGTTTTGTTTTTCTAAGAATAATAGTTGAGTATATTTAACTGGTTTGAGGTTAATAATAATTTCAAACTCTATTTTGGTACTAGAAAAGTAGAGTATTTTGAATTATATTGTTTTTATGTTGTTTAAAAGTATTTAAATTATACTTTTTTTTTCCTCCTTGTGAATCCAATCATTGTTAAATTATATATATATTCAGCCATGTTTTGAGAATAAAAAATTATAGATGTATACAAATATTTTAAATTCTATTTGAATTCCAAAAATTCTAAAAATTCTATTTTAATAATATGATTTGCATATTTTTTACTTTGGCATGTAATCTTATATATTTAAATATTTTTAATTATATATATATATATATATATATATAACCAAAATATATCCAAATTCATATTTTTAGTTGATAACATATTGATGTTAAAGTCTATTATGTTATTATAACCATATACAATTACTTCTTTTGGTAGTATTCATAAATAGTTTGTTTGAAAATTAAGGATTCGTCAACTATCAATTTTATATGTACAAGTTCAGATTGTTGTACTAAAATATTGCATATTAGTTAAATAATTTTATATAATAATATAAAACAAAAAAATATAAAAAAAATAGATGTAGAAACTAAATAATTTTTAGATTCTACATAAATTAATAAAATAAGACCACAATAAGATTTGAATAATAATATTAGATAATTAGAAGGTAGTACATATATCCAATTATAAAATCTTGATTATACATAGATATACTTGTTTTATGATATATTTTCTTTTTAATTATAATAATACATTGTATGGCTCTATTGCTATTTTAGATAGTACTAAAGAATAAAATTAAGTTTTTCAAAATACAAATAAAAATATTTTAATCAACATTATATCTTCTTTTGTAATATAAGAATTTTAAATCATGTAACATTTGCTTGCATATTATTTATTTTTGATAGTAAACTTTAAAAAGGCAAAGGCATTGATAAAGAATTATAAATAATAAATTTTTTATTAATTTTAATTATATTAATAAGTAAATTTGATGCTTTATAAAAATTACTTTTATTTATTTATTCTTTTATTTTTTTATTTTTACAATAAAATATTTTCTTTAATTTTTTTATCCTTTAGAAATATATGATCTTTTTTTATCAAAATATTTTGTGAAAAATATGTAAATATATAAGGAAATTATTTTTTAAAAATTATAAAGAAAATTTTAATTTTTAATAAGATTTTTGTTCTCTTCTAAATTAATGTACTTATTTTTAAAGAAAGATTTAGTTTATCTTTTATCAAAAAATATAAAACTCTCATATTTTATATAATTCTTTATTAAACTAGTAAAAATACAAATCTACATAGATTTTTCAAATCATAGTTTTTACATACACAATTAAGTCTAAAAAAAATTATAAAGAATTATGTATTTTTAGTATTAATATTTAATTTTCTAAATATTGTTAAAAATTGAATAGCTCTAAGTAAAAAGTAACTGGAGCAAATAATAGCTAAAAATAAGGTAATAACTAAATCATCATATAAATCTGCTACAAAATTTATGATGATTTAGTTATTTATCTGCTACTTAATGTCAAGGACATGAATCTTGAAGAAAGAAAATCCTCAATACACTCTTGTGTCACTGAAGAGAACTAGAAAGTCACTCAAAAGATGTAATATTAAACTAGAATGTTTATTTCCAAAAACAAGAAGACTAGAAAGTCTTGAAACAAGACTAAGGACTAAAAAAACATTGAAAAGAATGAAGAAGGCTTCTTTCTTGCTTCCATACTACTATTAATTAGGATCTACATGGCAATGTCCTATAGGATTTCCAAAACGTGTTGACTTTGCTAGCCACATGTCTTAATTTATAAGGCAAATTATCTATGTGTATGCCACATAGTTAGCTTGTTTCACAAGCTATTACTCAGAGTTAATTTGTTCTACAAGCTACCAACACATGGTTAACTTGTTGACCAAGTTTCTATCCTACAATACATCTAAAGTCAAAATTACATCTATGAAGCTTTTAGGAAGCTTCTCTACAAGACTTTATGAAATTAATCTATATTTATGTACTTCTATCTAATCATATAAGTAAATATTGAGGTCAATATATATGTCCGTGACATTATCTTCCCTTCTAGAGATGAATTCCATGAGGAGCGGTCATCATCTTTTATAGATCTTTGTAATTTTTCATCTTGTTTTTGATGAATGTCATTGATGAAAGGCCTCAAGTTTCTTTGTTGCCTTTACAAGATTCTTTGTTGGCTCCCATATGCATTTGCTAATATCATATCTACGCTAATAAACAAGACATTCCAATCTATTTTGGCATCCCCTTGAGTCTAAGACTTCTTCCACCTCAAACTCTTAATTATTATCCACTTTTATAAGAAGAAGTAGTATTTTTCTTCTTTCTTAGATATTCATTATCTTATACAGCTCAAGAAGAGAGACATAAAATATAAGGTGGATCTTCATAGACTCCGATAGATGTAATCGATAAGCAACAGGATTGATTTGTTCACAAATAAGAAAAGGTCTCAGCCTACAATAATCTAACTTATCACAAGGACTAGTAGTCTTGATATTGCGACAAAGTAATCATACCTTGTCACCTATATTGAATTGTAGTTGCTCCTTGCGATATTCATTTATATTGGTCTTTTGTCATTCTTGAGCTTCCTTTAATTGTATCTTTATTGTTGCATATAGCTCTAACAAATGATTTGCTAAATCCTCCACTGCAAGATTATTAACTTTTAAAAAGTTAAAAGTATTAAGTCTTGGATGATAACCATAATTGGCAAAGAAAGGTGTTTATTAAATAAAATAATATATTGAATTATTATATGTAAATTTTATCAATGGCAAAAGAGTTGTCCAATCATCTTGATGATAGTTGATAGTATACCTCAAATATTACTCTAGAACTTGGTTCACTTGTTCCGTTTGTCCATCAATTTGAAGATGAAAAGCCAAAGAGAGTTTTATATCTATCTTTAAAATCTTGAATAGGATTCTTCAAAATCTTGATATAAATTAACTCCCCTTATCCAATATAATATCTTTTAGCAATCCATGGTAGTAATAGGTATTGTCAATGAAAAGCTTAGTTATTTTTTCACGTGAAATAGATTTTATATATGATATGAAATGTGTCATTTTGGTAAAATGATCTATGATTACGAATATAGAATCATATAAACTTGAACTTAGAAGATCTATAATAAAATCCATAGAAATAGAAGACCATAGTTGTTTGGATATAAGCAATGGTTGGAGAAGTCCATAGGATTGATGACGAGGAATTTTTTATCTTAAACAAATGTAACATGATTGAACAAAGTCTTTTACCACCTTTCACATTTATGACCACCAAAAATCTCCAAATATAAGCTCTAGAGTCTTATTGTATCTAAAATGATCTACTGCTGGAAAGTCATGACATGCTTGAAGAACATATAAATGTACTTTTCATACTGGAATATATAGGCGTCCTTTGAAATAGAAAAGGTTGTTCTTGAACTTGAACTTTAAAACATCATAAGACTTAGATGAGGATTCTTGATATCATGAACAAGAGGATTAGAGGACATATTTGATTGAATTTATTTGACAAAGATTGAATCAAAAGTCAATGTTGATTTCATTGCTCAAAGATGAAAATACTTTGGCTTCAAGAGGATTATTCTTTATTGATCAAAAGATACATCTCTTTCTTTTGGTACAAGATAAGAGCGTTTAAAAAGAGCATATGATAAATCTTGTTATTTTCTAGGTTGATATGTAATCTTGAAATCAAATCTTGATAATGACATGCTCCAACAAGCTTGGAGAAAATTCAAAATACACGTTGACATGAAATACTTAAGGTTCTTTTAATCTATTTACTGTGACTAGATTTGAAGCACCTTCTAGATAATGATGCCATTCTTAAAATGAATCCACAATTGCAAGAAGTTCTTTATCATAGATCTCATAGTTAATCTCGACTATTGAAAATTTCTTAGAATAAAAAGTTACTAGATGGAATTTGTCATTTGTTCCCATTTATGACAATATTATACTTAATACAAAAATTAATTCATCTGTTTCCATAAATAATGTTCTAGTAAAGTCAATGTGATACAAAATTGATGCAAAAATAAATTTGTTCTTCAAAGCAACAAACAATATTTTGGTTTCTTTATTCTATTCAAGTTTGTCTTTACAAATCAAATATGTAAATAGAGCTACAACTTGAAAAAAGTTCTTAATGAAGATTTGGTAATAATTAGCAAAGCCTAAAAAGTATTGTACATCTCTTATTATTCTTGGGATCTTTCAATCTATGATAGTTTGGACCTTCTTTAGATCCATCATAAGGCCTTCATTAGAAATAATATATCTCAAAAAGTCAACTTAAGTAATGTGGAATAGACACTTTTCCATCTTCACGTATAATCTTACATCTCTTAGTTTTTATAACACACAACAAATATAAACATTATGCTCTTTTATGTTCTTAGAATAGATTAAAATGTTGTCCAAATAAAAGTTGAAAAAATCATTAAAAAAATTTACAAAAGACATCATTCATTAGATGTTGGAAAGCAACTAGTATATTTGTGAATCTAAAAGATAAGACATTATATTCAAAATATCCATACCTAGTTCAAAAAGTAGTCTTTCATTTATCTCCTTTGATGCAAGCTAGATTATATGCTCCTCGTATATCTATTTTTGTATAGATCTTTGTTTATTTTACTTGATCAAGAAGTCTTGAAATCAAAAGTAGAGGATACATATTTTTGATGGTG